ATTGTTGATCTGAGTGGACCGGTGATGTGGAGGTTGCATGTTGAGAGAACATTGACGTGGCATCATGTTGATGTGGACAATGTGCATGTAGAGAGAATTATTAGAAGTGGGGATCAACTTCTTAAGAATAGTAGATTCCTCCATAGGAATATGATTTTATTCATAAAAATCAAAGGGTTCTAAAGGAATATTTTCTATAGAAATCCTATCCTATGAAATTCCTATAGAATTGCTCCAAACCAAAGAAGGCTTACAAATGTTATATGCACACCATCATCACCAACTAAGAATTTTATAGGAGTAGAGACAAACACAATTTGAGTTCCAGGTAAATTTACGTCTATTGTTGTTAATGCCCCATAACTCTGCCTACATGGCACGTCAAACATGGCAATTGGCCCATGCTCTACCTCACTTGTTGTGTAGGTCCCGCATGTCAGATGCCAGGAGAAATTATTTGTTTTAAAAAATGCGGTGTTGGGATTCGACTAGCTTTTAAAAAAACGCAACTTGAGTTTCAAGTACATTTTCGTTTATTGCCATTAAAAAGCCACGTAACACTGCCTACATGGCACGTCAAACATGGCAATTGGCACACGCTCTACCTCACTTTGTTGTGTAGGTCCCACTTGTCAGCTACCAGGAGAAATTATTTGTTTTTTCTAAATGTGGTGTTGGGACCTGCGAAATGAAGTGAGGTAGAGTGCGGCCGATTGCCATGTTTGTGTGCCATGTAGGCAGAGTTACGGGGCATTGACGGCACGAAACTCAAGTTGTGTGACCAATTTGTGTCATTTTTCAATTTGTTGTATCAATATGTATCCGTCGTGCAAATTCATGTACCATGGATGCAATTAACTCTAATTTTTTAAATGATGATAAGCAAGGCTCATTTGTATGGTATATATGTGGAAAGGGCCGCTAGTTGATGGGTGTCGAAGAACAAGATGGCAGGGAGAAGGACGGACTTCGGCAATGAGCATGTGCATCAACATCCTTTTGTCAAACAGTGTTCCACGTGGCAAATGTTATCTTTCTCATGTTAATAGAACCATTTCTATGGCTTGTATCACTGAAACACTATATGTGAATTATTCGAAGGAAATATCAACAGAATCGTTTGCCTAGTTTCTATCACGTCATATTAAAACATGTGATTAATTGTAAATAAATTGCTACTTGAGTCGGTCAAGTAGCATGTTTCCTATGGATCTGGCAGTGGTTAGTTTCCCATGCATGTAAGATGGTGTGAGTGACCAGCGAGCATTTGGCCAGAGTCATGTGGCGTGAGGCCTGAGCTTGGTTGAGGCTAACAACCTGTGCATGTAGACTAGTTGTTCGTTTCACCAAAAAGAGATGCGTCGGCGCTTTCCCACCTTGATGTGTCTGTGTCCTTGAGAGAAACGTTCAGAGATGCTAGAGGTTGTGAGAGAGGAGCGAGGAGTTTTGAGGTCCAGCTTTGTTTGAGGCGTTGGAGGAGAACAAAATTTACGTGAGGGCGGTCAAGTAGCATGCTTCCTATCGATATGATCTGGCAGTGATGGTGTGAGTGACCAGCGAGCATTTGGCCGAGTCATGTGGCGTGAGGCGTGACCTTGGTTGAGGCTAACAACCTGCATGTAGTCTGGTTTGCTATATAAGAGACACAAAGAGAAGAGGGAATAGGCAGTGAGGGCACAAGCAAAAATGTACTAGCTGTTCGTTTCACCAAAAAGAGATGCATCGGCGCTTTCCCACCTTGGTGTGCCTCTGTTCTTGAGAGAAACATTCAGAGATGCTAGAGATTGTGAGAGAGGAGCGAGGAGATTTGAGGTGCAGCTTTGTTTGAGGCATTCGAGGAGAACAAAATTTGCGTGAGGGCGGTCAAGTAGCATGCTTCCTGTGGATATGATCTGGCAGTGGTTAGTTTCCCATGTAGAATGGTGTGAGTGACCAGCTCGAGTCATGTGGCGTGAGCTTGGTTGTGGCTAAACAGCCTGTGCATGTAGTCTGGTTTGCTATATAAGAGAAAACAAAGAGAAGAGGATAGAAGTAAAAATGTAGTTCTTGAGAGAAACATTTAGAGATGCTAGAGACTGTGAGAGAGGAGAGAGGAGGCATGAGATGCAGCTCACATATGTTTTTGTATTTTGTTTGAGGCATTGGAGGAGAACAAAATTTACATGAAATTGCTCCAAAGTCCAAACTAAGAAGAGAAAGTGTGGAGGACAAGGCCGTGCCGGTAATCCAACTAGAGAGTACCTGTGGCTAGATTAAGGTGCATATAAATAATCCCTTTATTCCTATCCTACATCACAAGACCCTCTGCCTGACATCATCTTCCTCTATTTCTATCCTCTGCATCGATAGAGAAAACATTTTCCTCCCTATAAATCTACATTGTTCAGAAAATATTTTGAAAACTTCCTCAGAAAATTCCTGATTGGGTCCAAGACGGATGAATACAACCTCCAACCGCCAATGTGTTTTAACTCATGATACTCTGTTTCACTCTCCTTAACTAATGAAAAGCAGGCAGATCTTTTGCCTCCTCTTTATATAAAAGAAAAAGAATGTATGTAGTACTTCCTCCATCCCATAACATAAGACGTTTTTGCAAGCAACATAACTTGCAAAATCGCCGTGCATTGTAGGACAAAGGAAGTATTAGAAAACTGAGAGCTGGATCGTTATTATTTCACACCATTACACAAACAAATGTCTTAACCCCAGACCAATTTGGCGAGCCCATCAGCTCTGACCTATATTACACGAAAACAATGCGCCTAAGAGAACTCTTCCTATTAGAGAAGCCATGAATGGTGCATATAATTAAACTTTTTTTATCTATTTTTACAGGATGATACAGAACATGGATTCAGATGTATCGTCTGTGATTTTCTGTAGGGCCCCAACAAATGAGCTGAGCTGCCTTATGTTACTCAAGAGTTGAGATGTCTTGGTACAAGGATGCATCAGAGGAGACTCACACAAATCAGACGAGCCGTAGCAGTCTGATTTTGCCCTGATTTCTTTTGCCCACAAAAATTTTGCTGCTCTAGTGACCATCTTCAGTATTTACTACGCTGCTCTGCTGACGCGAAGCGGCGCTTACTAGAGGAGCATCAAATTTCCACCTGCACAAAATGGAAGATAGTTAGGTACTAATGTCTCATTCATGCAAAAATGGCATGGTGATAAGAGATATCCAGCAAACTGATCCACCTCTTTAATGTTGTCCAAAACTATTTTCAAATGAAAATCTGAAGTGCGAAAAACACTCCTCTGTCTTCACACAAAGACACCAGTAAAAAAAACTGAATTATTGCGCAGGTTCCACTAGTTGGGTTTCAAGAGGTTTCATCACTAGAAATGGTATGTTAATCGAAAGTGATTGGTATGAATATTTAGAATGACCTGGCTCAACTCTCTTTGACGCAAAGTGCAAGGCAGCTAGATTAGGTGGGCATGTGGAAGCATTTAAAATTGTCTTTTGAAGAAAGGAAGATGAATGTGATAGTATATGCCCTTTGCTGATTAAACAAGTTAAGAGTTTCCTATATAAATAAGTTAAGAGTTACACCGTAAACATCACGAAACAATGGGGGAAACGACATTTTTAAGCAATGCCGCTTGCTTGTACTCTTTATCACATCCACATTGTTCCACAAACCAAATCCTAATATCATGGCAGAATTTCAGGATAGGATATTCTAGAGAATGGTAGTGCTATCATTGTACGGTACCACGGGTGTCCATTCTGCAAGATCAGAACAGCGAGAAAACTGATCCACCTCTTTAATGTTGTTCAAAACTATTTTCACATGAAAATCTAAAGTACCAAAAACACTCGTCTGTCTTCACACAGAGAATTGAATTGCACACTAGTAAAACCGTCCAACCTGAATTATTGCGCAGGTTCTAGTAGTTGGGTTTCAAGAGGTTTCGTCACTAGAAATGGTACGTTATTCGAAAGGATAGCTATGAATATTTAGAATGACCTGGCTCGCGTTTCTTTGACACAAAGCGTAAGACGGCTAGATTAGGTGAGCGTGTGGAAACATCTAATTGTCTTTTGAAGAAAGGAAGATGAATGTGATGGTATATCCCCTTTGCCGGTCAAATAAGTGAAGAGTTACACCGTAAACGTCACGAAACGATGGGGGGAACGACATTTTTACGATTGTACGTGTTCAAAAAGGTATGACTCTTTCTTGTACTCTTTATCACACACACATTGTTCCACCGATGCATCTTGGATGGTCTGACCCTCCGGGCTCGCGCAAGGGGCTCTCGTCGTCGCTTCTTCTGCTTACGGTTGGTGGCTCTGGAAGCACCGCAATGGATATGTCTTACGGTTGGCCACCTCCGGCTCTAGCCCATAGCACCTGCTATGGGCTAGAGCTGGAGGCGGCCAAGGCTAGAGTTGGAGCTAAGGGATGCAAGCGGACGGCATCCGCATGTCCGTGACCGTTCGTGAAGCAAAAATTACTTTAACAACCGTTTTAGTTTACGCTTGCAAGATCAGGGCAGCCAGAAAACTGAAAATATTTACTGAATCCGCAGGAAACTGGGATATACTACTGTCATGTCACAGTCTATACTGTGCATGTCCGTTGTACTATACTCCGTATGATACTACTATACAAAGGGCAGGGCAGGGCAGGCAGAGTCTGTTCACCAAAAAGGTGCTGATTATGTCCGGCCCTCACGTGGTTAAGGGCAACAGGAATTGATTCCAGGGATGGTACGCAGTACGCACCCACCAGCAGCCCCATCAGGAACGCCATGGCCATCCATCGTGGCCAACCACAACCTGCAGGACCCAGCGTACTACATCTGTGTCTGCCGCGCCATCAAAACCAAATCTTAGATCTGATCTCGGAGCGCGACCGACCAACGTAGGCTCTAATCAACGTCCAGACCACGCTGTAATCTGTAATTTTCGTCGGGTTTCGTCTTCGCCATGTGGAGTGAAGTGAAATTCAGGCAAGCAAACGGGGTGGAGGGAGGAAGGGGGCTTACTCGTGCGGGAACTTGACTTCATGCAGAGCGTCTGACCGGAGCGACCACGCCAGCGCCGCCTGGGCGCATCTGGCGAGCGGCTCCACCTGGCCGGCGTCGGTGACCAGACCCAGCGGGCTGTCCAGGTGCGCGCCGCCGTCCACGGCGTCCAGGTCGCGCACCCACTCGGGCCGCTCTGATGCGCTCTCCCAGAGCACCCGCGCGTTCACCACGAACCCGGCCCACTCCAGCCGGGTGGACAGCAGCATGTCGCTCCGCGCCGCCGGCAGCAGCGTCTCCTCCGAGACATGGTAGCCCACCAGCTTCCCGGCCTCGTCGCAGGCCGGCGCCTGCAGGAAGGACTCCTTGGTGCCTTCGTCCTCGCCCAGAATGCCCACGGGCACGGCGCCCACGGACTTGACCTTCTGCGCCTCGTCGAACAGCTCCGTCCGGAGGATGCCGTTCTCGTCCGCGAACACCACCACGCCGTCCATCTTCTCCTTCCGTATCTCCCTGAAATTGGTCGACAGATCCAAATTGTGAGCGAGACGGTATGGGGATGGGCGCTCAGTGAGATCTAGTGCAGCGAGCAGAGGAGCATGGTGATAGTACCTGAGGGCGTGCATTCGCAGGCGCGCGGTGGAGGCGCCGTCGGAGGCGACGAGGTGGAGGAAGTCGAGGCCGGAGCGGGCGAGCACGGCGGCGACGGCGTCGGTGCGGTGGCCAGGCTCGACGACGATCCACCTGAGCGGGGCGTCGACGAGGCGGAGGGTGTGCGCCAAGGACGTGAGCGACGGCGCCTGGAGCGCGGAGGTGGTGGTCGGGGTGACGGCAATCACGGGCCTGGGCGCGTCGGCCAACCGGTTGCGGCTGCGGCGCTGCGCTTCCTGGACGGCGGCGAGGATGCTGTGGGCCTTGAGGAGCTCGCTGGGGTCCGGGTGCGGCCACTTGCGGACGCGGATGGCGTGGCGGCCGACGAAGACCGGGCCGTGGTGGACCTGGTGGTGCGCGTTGGCGCCGGCCTCGCTCTCAGCCACCGTGGTCGTCGTCGTGACGGTGGTGGTGGTGGTCGTCGTAGTGGTGATGGTGGCGGTGGCGTTGGAGCTGGCGAGCATGACGGGCGGGGTGACGAGGGAGACGAGGTGCGCGGAGGGGTTCATGGGCGGCGTGGGCAGGAAGAGGAGGAAGACGACGAGGCGGGAGAAGCGGAAGCCGACGGCCATGGAGGTGGCGCAGAAGAGCGCGTGCAGGATGAGCCACGTCGCCGGCAGCGACGGCTTGGCCAGCTCTGGCGCCGCGTCGGGCGCCCCCACGGACAGCGGGAGCTTCATCTCGCCGGAGTGGCCGAACACAGACGACACACACACCGCGTAGGTGTACCTCGGCGGAGCTTTACAGCTCGGGCTGGGTGCCTGGGTGGAGTAGCTAGGAGCAGTAGCGGGCGAGCTGGGCGGCGGTGGCGAGTGATATAAGAGAGGCGGGGGGAGGGGGCGGGGGTAGGCGGCCGGCGGCGGGGAGGGAAAAGCAACGACGCGAGCACGCAATTATGAGCAGCGGCCGGTAAACAAAAGGCGCCGCGCTGCTCAGCAGCTGGTGGTGGAGTGGATGGTGAGGGTGAGGTGGAGCGCTGGGCTCGTGGCCCGGCCAAGGAGAACCGCCGACTGGGGCCGGGCGATGGTGGGGTGGGTGGGAGCGTCGAACGCGGGAGCAAATGCTGCAGCATTCCGGCGGTTCTGGCCAGATCGTTGAATTTAACAGCGGCTTAGGCCAACTCCACCGCGCGACCCTATCCTGTCCGGCACCGTTCGTTTGGGGTAAAAGTGACAAAAAAGGCGGCCCAGCGCGCGGCCTCAAACGGACAAATGTTCGGATTTCGTCCGTTTTCGACCCATCCCCGGCCCAAACTTGCGCTCGGTTTGGGGTGAAACGGCCGCGCGCGGACGGCCGCGACGCACGCCCTTGTCCCCCCATGGCCCGCCTGTCGGGGACACTAGCAGTCCCTCCGCTCCCAACGCTTCACCCTCTCTCCCCGCCCAGCCCTGCCGCCGGCGCCGCCCCTATTCTCCGGCCGCCTCCTCACCGCGCAGCCCCGCGCCGTCCATACCAAACTACGTCTCGACATGGCCGCCACCACGCCCGCGGTTTCGCCGTAGTTTTGGTCATCTATCGAGGGAGGTTTGGCCGTCGCCGTCCTTGCCGGTGGCGGAGGGGACACGACCGCCGGCGACCGCTCTTCAAGGCGGATTCCGACGAGAGCTCCAGAGCGGCCAGTAGCCGGCCGGCAACCATCCCTGCTGCGTCGAGGTGATCATCGCGGCCTCTTCGCCACCACGATCGGAAGGTGTTCAACTTTTTGCCATCAAAGGTATGGACAGTGGAGACGAGTTTTTCTTTCATCACTTCCTTTGTTCGTCGGACGATTCGTCGTCGGATGATGAAGATCTTGTGGTGGCTGCACTGGTCGTTCACGACCATATTCAACGGCAGCTTCCTCGGTACAGGGGGTCACTCCCTGGCCATGCTCCCAACCTGAACCGCAACAGAGAGAGAGGCCACGCCCTGCTTTATGCCGATTACTTTGCCAACACCCCGCTCTTCAAGCAGGATAAATTTTGTCGCCGTTTTCGTATGGCAAGGCATGTGTTCAATCGTATCCGAGAGGGAGTGGTTGCTCATGACCCATACTTCGAGTGAAACACGGATGCCCTTGGCAAGCTTGGGTTCTCCTCTTATCAGAAATGCACCGCGGCCATCCGCATGCTTGCATATGGTATTCCAGGCGATCTGGTGGACGAGTATGTGCGTATGAGTGAGACAACATGTCTGATGTCAATGTACAAGTTTTGCCAGGCCGTGATCGAGGTGTTTGGCCCAGAGTACTTGAGACAGCCAACTGTCGCTGATACAGAGAGATTGTTGGCGACCAACGCAGCTAGAGGCTTTCCAGGCATGCTTGGCAGCATAGATTGTATGCATTGGGAGTGGAAGAACTGTCCATTTGCTTGGCGGGGCCAGTACAAGGGCATGTTAACGGATGCACTGTCATATTAGAAGCGGTGGCATCACAAGATCTTTGGATATGGCATTCTTTTTTCGGCATGGCAGGTTCTCACAATGATATCAACGTGCTGCAACGCTCTCCAGTCTTCGCAAGGCTTGCAGAAGGCCACTCCCCACCTGTCAACTTTGAGATCAACGGCCACCAGTACAACAAGTGATACTATCTAGCAGATGATATATATCCTCAATGGTCAACTTTTGTGAAGACAATCTCGAAACTCCAAGGTGAGAAGAGAAAGAGATTTGCCCAAATGCAAGAGAGTGTTAGAAAAGATGTGGAACGTGCTTTTTTGGTGTGCTTCAATCTCGATGGGGTATCGTTCGAAACCCTGCACTGTCATGGGATGAAAGGAAGCTTTGGGAGGTGATGACTGCTTGTGTGATTATGCACAACATGATCGTCGAGGACGAGCGTGATGAGAGTATCTTCGACCAAGGATTTGATTATCAAGGTGAAAATATTGAGCTCCTGCACCAAGATCCGGCCACATTTGAAGAGTTTGTCCAATTCCACCATGAGATGCGTGATTGGCACACTCATTTGAATCTTCAAAATGACTTGGTTGAGCACGTCTCGGATCACATTGGCAACCAATAGATGTATTCGTCCAGTTTAGGTTCAGTCAAGACAATTTCGATTTGGTTGTAAAACTATTTTATTGAAGACAATTTCAGTTGGGTTTTAAAACTATTATAATTTTCAGACAAATATTTGGGTTGGAAACTAGTTTTGATGCAATTTGGGCATTTTTTGCCCTAACGGACAGGATGGGCCAAACGAATGCGGCCGCGCGCTGGGCGCACGTCCAATGCATTCCAGGACAGGCCTGAACACGACCTCAAATCGCTACCCAAACGGACAGAATCTGAACAAAACGGACGTCCGTTTGGGATCGCGCGGTGGAGTTGGACTTACAATTACCTCTCGTCGTCGCCTTCCTCTATCCTCGTACTGTACTGCCGCCAGTGTCAAAGTCTATCTCGTTTGCACCGACAATGAGAGTGAAAACAGTGGTGCCAAACCGTGGGGCTAACAGTGGGTGTCAGCTGTGAGGTGGCAGGTATTCATTTCTGCTGCGACGGATGAACGCCCGCCCGGTGCCCTACAACTACATGTTCCCTTGGCGTTGGGGCAGGAGCACGTTGTCCATTTATTATTGGGGGTGGCATTTTGTGCAGTGCCCGTACCGTACGAGATTACAGTAGGAAAGCTTGAAGCATTCCCGACGTCCGGTACAGGGGTGACAGTGGGACACTGGACATGATCCCGGGAACGAATTTGGCCCTGGATCCCGGGGAGAGCGCCGGGAATGTCTGTTTCGCCTTGTACTTTCACGCCAAGATTTTACCTTACCGCACAAGGGCGGAGGGCGGGACAGTTCGCCGGCGAGCTGGCTGGCCAACGAAGAGGCCGTCGACCGTCGTGGCCATAGTCACCGAGAATTCGGGCACCGTGCATAAGCACCGGCCGTTCTACGAGTCCATGCCCAGCGCCTGCGTCATCCGTGGCGGTTCCGTATCAACGCGGAGGAGCCCGACCGCCCTGTTCGACGAGAACGTGGTAGAGGCAGACACGGAGGCGGCGTAGGCAATCACGGACGGGAACGCTGGCAATGTCGACAGCTCCGCATTGTTCGTGCCTGGCCGCGACGACCACGAGGCCGGACCGTCCACGTCGATTGTCGGCCACACCTCGATTGACGTCATCTACGGTCATGCGGCTTACTCCGACGGAGAGTAGGAGGTGGGACACGGACATGCCCACGACCGGCAAAGATTTAGACTAAAATAACTTTTACTATGTGTAAAAAATACCTATGTTAATGTAAATGTCATATACCCTTATATATGATGCACTGGGTTGGATGGTTGGCTCTCGTATATGTGTATGCATACGTTTAGTTTGTTTGAGTTTGAGTTACGCCGTTGGAGACGTCCTTACCTAGAATAAACTTCAACTTCCGGTCTCATTCCATTGCTATGGTGCTCTAGGGGAGACTTCTGCCTTGCCCTACTATCGCCGACGAATCTGCTGGTTCCCCTCCCCTCTGTGGGCAGCTCCAGAGGTGGGGGGAACTACATAGCTTCCCGTGGATCATGTAAATAAGGGTGGAGACGTCGTGCAGAGGGTGGTGACAGTGTCACAGTGGGTCTGTCTGCAGCTTGGATCCCTTGATGATACTACAAAATGTGTGCTATTTTGTGATGAAAAAAAGTCATATAAGATCATTTTTATGACGGAAACCGTCACGAGCTGATTTCCTCCTGGAGCAGCACGCTCGACAACTTTGGTGACATTCTGGCCTGATTTTAGGCAATGCATTTGGCGGTCACTAGGCATGGGCATATTCTGCGATGATTTTAGTGTCACAAAAAATGTTCGACGGGTTAGAGAAAGGATTCAAAAAATGATGTAGTGGGTTTCAAAATGCAGTTTCGGGTTTTTCTGCCATGGCAGAGTTTTGAGCATATTAGAATAAAATTTGTAGGGATTATGAGTTGAGATGCTCGTATTGAAATTTATTGGTTTTTTTCATACGTCTCATTGTACTGAACTACAAAATGATATATTAACTCTGTAATAAAGCAGGGACGAGAAAAATATGATCACAGAGAATAATATACCAATTAAAGTTCAGGCATAGAACAAACATTTTGTAGATTAGCACGTCATTACCATAAGTATCTCACATTAGGAGCAGGAGTGGTCGAGCATGAACAAAAAGTACATCATCAGGACAGAAATACTCTTCATAAGATGTTTGAGATTGAATAGATTGAGTAGGCATGGGTGTAATAAAGAGGAGAACCTCATCACATCCATAGTGGATCACGAAGATCAGACTGTCTCCAAGTATCATTTTGTATTCGCAAAATAATCCTTCCACCCGAGGCGTCCATCTTTTTCTGGCATCGATTATATCGACCCTAAGTCGATATCAGGACAAATAATAATTCTGATTTCACCATATCGATCCATCTGGTCAAGCAGAACACAACTGAGGAACCTGTTGCAATAACACAATTATGACATAGTATATTGACCTATTTTAAAGAAAAAAGACTATATTTTTTTAATGTTGGTCTTGGTCAAAGTGTGCATGAGTAGTTTGTACACCACAAAGATGGAAACTTACGCACAATCGCCACGGGTAATTTTTAACCAGGGGAAAGGTGTTAAAAATCATACCTCGGGTAATAACTTATCTGCGAAGATCATGTTAATATACACACAATAGCCTCTAGGTGTAGTAACTTACTTAGAACGAAC